ATATATATATATATATATATATATATATATATATATATATATATATATAAAGTATCTTTTATTTTACTGACTTCGAAATTGTTTCATTATTTTAGTCATATATTAATAAATGTAACAACAATTTAATTAATTACAAAGGACTCATTTGTTGATGAATTTTATAAGTTAATATACTTAACACTGCTGTAAAAACATACATTAATCTGTCGATGTATCTAATAAAAAATATAAGTGTTAAAAATAACAATTTGTAATGAATTTTTTAAATTTTATTTATAATACATTTTTTTAATTTTATAGAATATTTTTCCATTTTGAATTATAAGAAAATATTGAAATCATGAGAATTTTCGTGAATCAATACATTTAAAACTGCTGTACATTAATCTATCGAAATACCAGATAAAAAAATTACAAGTTTTACAATCCATAATTAATTTTTAAAACAAAAGAATAAAAAATTCTGAAGTCGATAAAATAAGAGCCACTCTAATATAAGTTTTATATATATATATATATATATATATATATATATATATATATACAATATATATGTGAAGAGTATATATATATATATATATATATATATATATATATATATATATGTACTCTTCACATACATATTGTATATAATTCTTTTAACTTTTGAAATTGTTGATAAATTTAATTATTATAATAGTCATCTTTGTATAAAATATAAATATAGCACAAATGTCTAAAATAGTATAATATTCTTTGACTCTTCTATTTTACATTCAATAAATACTATTTTTAGAATATTCTTAAAATAGTATTTATTGAATGTAATAGAATATTCTCGTAAAATATTGTTAAAAAAATTCTTTTTTATTAATTTACAATTAATTGTTTATATTATAGTATTATGTACTGAAGTTATAAAGTAGCTTAAAACTCACACGCCAAAGAAAATATGTTCTTATTTTTATTACGTACATATTAAAATTGATTCTACGCATTCTTAAAGAGTAATGTCACTCTAGTGCCCGAAAAAATAGCCTAATTTTGACAATTTTTTATGGGAATATAGTGAATGGAATACAAAATCTGTTTAATGGTTTTATGGTTTAATATGGTTTAATGGTTCTTATTGTACATACTTTGAAGTGTATTCACAAATTTTTTTCAATTTTTTTTTACAAAATGGCGGTGTCAGTATTCAGCAAAGGAAACCTCTTCTCACGAATAGTGTTCCGCGGCCTGAAAGCTTTCTCCTGCAATTTTTGACTTAGAACAAAAGACCAAAAATTTTTAAGTTTTATATAAAATTAACTCAGGAAATACGTACGCTAATTAAAAAATACCATTTCTTGTAAAAATAATGCACGTTTGAACAAAAGTTTCATTTTTAGGTAAAAAATTACATGAAAAATTGTTTATAACAAAAAAAGTTTACAATGAAATTTAAAATCCGTACGTACTTCTCTAGATAATGTAATTTTGAAGCTACAGTTAAAATTTCAAGTAAATTAATGAAGATCTGATAACGTTATGTTTCCGGCCGCGGAACACTATTCGTGAAAAGAGGCTTCCTTTGCTGAATTCTGGCACTGCCATCTTTTTGTAAAAAAAAAATTGGAGAAAAAATTTGTGAATACATTTCAAAGTATGTACAATAAAAACCTTTAAACAGATTTTGTATTTCATTCACTATGTTCTCATAAACAATTGTCAAAATTAGGCTGTTTTTTCGGGCGCTAAAATGGCATTACCCCTTAAATACATTGCAGGAAGATAGTTCTATAATAACTATCTATAGTAACAGCAATGATAATACACACTGAAAATTAATCAAAAAAATGTATCAATAATTTCTTACAAAAAACTAAAATAAATTGTACACAAGATGCATACTTTATACAATTAATTTATTCAAAATATTTAGAATGATCTCATTTTGACATTCTATGTAGATTCATAAAATACTTTTTTTTTACACACACACACACACACACACACACACACACACACACTATATTATACTTTTTTTTACATTAATAGAATATTCACTAAAGAATATCACAGACAATACAAATCTATTCTATAAATATCCTTCAGAGAATATTTTAATGAAATTTAAAAAAGTAGTTTATAAATCTGCATAGAATAACAAAAATGAAACTATGTTCTAAATATTCTGAATAAGTTTAGAGAATATTCTGAATAAGATTTCTAGATTAGATTAACAAAAAGAAATGTTCTTTTACATGCATGTTCTAAATTGTACTGTAACATCTCAGTCACACTAATATAAATAATTAACTTTAAAATAATTTTTTACAAGAAATAAAAATAACAAATCAAAATGAATAGTAAAAGGCAGTAAAGAGCCAACGCAGTTGTAGAGCGTGGATAAAATAATTTCCAAGACGGCAATTCAATTTTAACGATCCTTTCGCTTTATTCCAAACGTTTCGGACTCAATTCGAACCTTCTTCAGTGATTCTAATAAACACAAAGAAAAGATAAATAAATCAAATGAGAAAAAAAATAAAAACGCAATATCAATAAATGCAAGAGAGAGGAAAAAGCATAGTCACATGTATGCATGATCCATAGGAGCGACGCGACTTCGTCAAGGCTGGTCCATCCGAGAAAGCAGGATGCTTAAAAGCCCTCTCAGGCGGTACAAAGCGCGAAGAGCGATGCACTAACAAAATAAATAAAACCAAAACTAGTCACATGTCTTAAAAAAGAGAGAAATTTATTGACGTTAATTAAAGGCCACTCACTCACTCGGACAAGAGACAGACCAGCAGAAACGAAACGAAACAATCGACAAGCCCACAATCGAATAGGCCGATAATTCGAACGGCAACGGTAATAATGTCATATTGTGGTCGGCAATAACAAACTATATGTAAAGAGGACAAAGCCAGTCAAACAGAAAACAACCCGTTAAATCTTAGGCATGTTTTCAATTATCGACAGGCACGAAGTATTTAATTTTAAAGAATCGCTTTGGAGATTCAACGCATTCTTTTGGCGCTAAATATAAATCATTTCGGATATAAGTCTTTTTCCTAAAAACATTTCCTCATCCAAAATCTCGATATCATCGAAATCAAAGGTATGATTAAGCGCTCTATGTTCGGAAGATTCCTTCTATGTTCTTTGATCCTTGTCCTTAACAAGCGACCTGTTTGTCCTACGTAAGAGGCGTCGCAATCTGTGCAATTGATTTTATATACTATATTACTACGCGAATCCTTCTGTAAGTCAGTCCTTGCCGACTTTAATAAATCTGCGCAAATTGTTTATTTCGGTGTAAGAAAGCCTAACATCAAGATCTCTGACGCAGTATCGGAAACGTTCTGATTTGTTCTTCACATATGGAACATTAAAATATGTGATCTTGTTACCACCTCTCTCATCGTCAATCACACTCTCAACATAATGCATCGCTCTTCGCGCTTTGTACCGCTGAGAAGGCTTTTTGCATCGTGCTTTCTCGGATGGACCAGCCTTGACGAAATCGCGTCGCTCCTATAGATCATGCATACATGTGACTATGCTTTTTCCTCTCTCTTGCATTTATTGATATTGTGTTTTTATTTTTTTCTCATTTGATTTATTTATCTTTTCTTTGTGTTTATTAGAATCACTGAAGAAGGCTCGAATTGAGTCCGAAACGTTTGGAATAAAGCGAAAGAATCGTTAAAATTGAATTGCCGTCTTGGAAATTATTTTATTCACGCCCTACAACTGCGTTGGCTTTTTACTGCCTTTTACTATTCATTTTGATTTGTTAATTTAGAGGAGCCTTTAACTTTGTTTATTTTATTTAAATAAAAATAAATTGTACAAAGTACATTTCTTGTATAAAATTCAATTTTGATTTCCTCTAAGAAATTATTGATAAACTTTTAATTTCCAATATACATTGTTATAACTATAACATAGAAATTGTTATCTTTTGACACAATTTATATGCGAACAAAAAGTGCACGCAACCAACTTATCCTCATATATAGTTGACATAAGAACATATTCTTTTATATATATATATATATATATATATATATACATATATATATATATATATATATACTGAAAATATTATATTTGATCTAAAATAAAATCGTCAAAGATTATATTGTACTATCTAGGATTTTAACAATTAAAAATATTTGTTTTTATAAATAAATATTATATTATACATATATTTATTATATATACATAATACATACCTGCTCTATTTAACTTTCCTTCTTTTTCCTATTTATTTATATCAATTTCTAAATAGATATCACTCTCTTGACACTTATTACGTACTAAATGTACATATGTCGTAAATGTAACCTCACAATACACAGTTGTAGCGAAGTCGATGCTACGCCATCTTTACACTCGAACCTCGAAACGCGCGTCAGCCAATCAGCATTGCTATAAAGAGGCTTCAACGCTTCGAGATATTACGAGTTATCGACTTAACATGCACTTTTTAAGATAGCACTTCTTGATAATATGCTATTCATTTTGAATGACCGGATATCCAATATTGAGCACACATATAGTGGAGACAACGTATAGTTGGTGCACACAGAAATTTGGAATCGTCTATATAGATGATGTGAATACTTCCCAGATAGCACAAAGGTGAACATAAATTCATAGGGAAATCATTTTAAAGAATACTTGTAGAATTAGAAAAATGAATATCTGAAGAATTCTTGAAGAATTATTCATAATCAGTTCGTCTTGAAATATTCCTTATAAATTCATTTTAATGAATACTTTGCGACAGTACTATGAATACTTTGAGAATTTATAAGGAATTACTTATTTTTCCACGCATGCGCGAGACTGTGTGTGTTCGGTTCGGACTTTATCTTGTAATTTCGTGCAGTGTGCAGTGTGCTACATATATGTATTTTGCAATAAAGTGGTAATATATTTATAAGGTGGTAATATATTTATATTATATTTATATTATATCAGACAAAAGTACAGTGCTACGCATAATTATATTAATAATTGGATGTTATTGAATGGTAAGTATTAGTTGAACTAAATATATTCCTACTACCTAACCTCGAAATAAACGCATGCAATTTTTATTTTTGTTGTTTATTCATTCAGTAAACAAGCTGTTTTAGTTGGTTTGCCAACAGAGTCAATCAAAATCTCTATCTATTGATAAATTTGGATAAATATTTGTCTGCATGTAGTTCATGTACTTTCAACAGGCGATTTCTGATTATATGAATACAAACTTCTATTATATGTTCATATATTACTTTTATATATTAATTTTATATAGAATGTCTTATTGCTATAGTCTTTCTAATGTATAATATAATGTTATATAATTTCATACATATATTTTATTACAGATTTATCAGTCACGTATAAAAGTATCACAATAAGAGATTAGACGAAACTGAAGAATAAGAATAACCAACTATTATAAAAAATAAAAGTAAGTGTATTTATGTGCATTTAATTTTGCATTTTAAGTAATAATAAATGAAAATGAAGCGTCAAGTAAAACCATTTAACGAATTATCAAGATGGCAACGAAATAGACGTTTACGTCAAATAAGTATAGAATCAGATATTTTTGAAAATTATAATCTTGAAGAAGAAAGTAATATTAATATAGTCATCCCAACTGAAGAAGAAATCATTGAGGAATGTCAAATAGAAAATCCTTTTATTCCATCACAATGTACAGACTTTAATGAAATTTTACAGTATTCCAGCAGCGATTCAAATAATTCTAATATTGAAGAAGTTAATTTAACTGAAAATATAGTGGATAATAATTATGAAACAATCAACATAACAGATCGTAACGAAACATTTGCATTAGAATTACAATTTTGGGCTATTTCAAATAATATTTCCAATAATGCTCTGTCAAAATTATTAACATTATATAAAAAATATCACCCTAATGAAAATATTCCAAGTGATGCTCGAGTTTTCCTACATACACCGAAAGAATGTGTCAGTGTAACACAATGTAAACCATGCGGTAATGGAGAATTTCTATATTTCGGTCTTCAAAAAGTTTTACTTAAATATTGCAGACAAAATACAATTCATTTAAATAATTTTATAATAATTGATATAAACATTGATGGATTGCCAATTTCTAAAAGTACTAACAAGCAATTATGGCCAATTCAAGGTAAAATCATTAATGTAAACCAGCCTTTTATTATTGGAATTTATCACGGCATGTCAAAACCTGCATCTGTTGAAGAATTTTTAAATGAATTTGTCGATGAATACTGTATTTTACGAGATCAAGGTTTTGAATGGAATGGTAACCATTATTTTGTTAGAATTAGAGCTGTTATCTGTGACTCTCCAGCTCGTTCATTTGTTAAATGCATAAAATATTGTACTGGTTATAATGGATGTGAACGTTGTATAATAAAAGGGGACTACATTAATGATAAAGTAGTATTTGTAGATTGTTGTGAACGAAGAACTGATCACAGTTTTAAAAATAAACTTGATCCTAAGCATCATACCGGAATTTCTCCATTAGAGAGACTTGGAATTGGAATGGTCAGTGCTTTTCCACTAGATTATATGCATTTAGTTTTACTTGGAATAATGAAAAGATTGTTATTATTGTGGACAAAAGGTATCAAAGAATGTCGCATTAGCGGTCATAATTATAAAGTACTTAACGAGCGGTTACGTTTAAATCAAAAGTTACCTTCAGAAATATCGAGAAAACCGAGATCAAACTTGAATGAATTTCATAGGTGGAAAGCCACGGAATTTCGTTTTTTTCTGTTATATTTCGCACCATTCATTTTATATGATGTTTTACCAAATAATTATATTCTACATTTTTCTGCTCTTCATTGCGCAATTAGAATTTTATGCGATCCCTTAAACTGCGTACGTAACAAAGAATATGCTACAAAATTATTGATGTGGTTTGTACAAAATTTTAAATGTCTATATGGTACAGAAAATTGTGTATATACCGTACATAATTTAATACATCTTGCTGATGATGTAGGTACATTTCAAGCATCACTAGATGATTTCAGTTGTTTTCCGTTTGAAAATGAAATGAAGAAGATAAAGAGATACCTACGCAAACATGATAAACCATTATCACAACTTTACAAACGAATATCGGAAGAAATCTTTGTTTCAAATGTTAAAACTTTGGAAAAGAAAACGTATCCAATATTAATACATAAAAATAAGACAAAATTAGCTATTCCATTTTGTAATGATGGTTCTTATGAAGGATTACTTTTTGAAAAGATCACATTACGTACAACAGCACCAAATAATATATGTTATTTAAAAGATGGCAGTATATATAGTATAAAATATATCGCAACATTAAATTCGGAAATTTTCTGCGTAGGATATAAAATGATAATTTCTGATGTATCCATTTATCCACTAGAATCTAATAAATTAGGTGTACATTTGATAAAAAGTGAAAGTAAAATATTAGAGAGATTTACAATCAATCATATCAAAGGAAAAGGTATAAAAATAATGTTACAAAATTCCGCATTTGTATTACCACTTTTACATTCCTCATTTTGATTTCTTTAATTTGTATTGAACAAACTTATTATATGTAATATTCTGAATTAATATTCTCTTCCCTTATGGTTGAAACCATATATTGTTAATTTATCATTAAATTTTTTATTTGCTTTCCTATTTTTTTAAGTCTGTGTGTGTGTGTGTGTGTGTGTGTGTGTGTATGTGTGTGTGTGTGTGTGTGTGTGTATGTGTGTGTGTGTGTGTGTGTGTGTGCGTGCGTGCGTGCGCGCGCACATTTCTTATTTTATATGTCCTTATTATGAGAAAAAAAAGAATATTCGATAGTAATAATAAAGAGTTAATTAGATGAAAGAATAAATTAGAAATTCATAAATTACATATGCGATTATTGATATATTTACATATCTACAATACACATATGTGATAATCAGAATAGTTATTCTTTTCACCCTCCTCTCTTTCCAAATGAATTACTGTTACATTCTTTTCTTTAAAAAATAAATCTTTAAAAAGTAACTTGTTACTGGTGGTAATTAATAACATTCATTAAATTTTTTTAATTATTGTATAATACTGTAACAAGATTAAATTAAATATGAGATATTTATACTTGTATATAATTATTTTATTTTGTGTTTTTATTACTTTATAAATAATACTAAAGTAATAACTAAGTAATAAAATTATTAGTAATTTTCTTTAGTAAATTTTTTTTGCATATTATATTCAGTAAATTTATATATATTTATTGTCTATGTGTATAAAGATGATATAAAATAAATAAATGGTTATAGATGTTTTATGTTGTTCATGTTGACAATTGGTTTCAATCTATCCCAGAAAACTGGTTAGATAAAGAAAACAAAATTGTCTATTGGCCTACTGAAAAAAATTCTATAATTACAACATGGATAAAAAAACAAGTACCATATAAATCTGAATGGACAAAATACGATTATGCTTGTTTGTTTGGGCCATTTGGTGAGTATTAATAATTTAAAAATTGTACAATTTAAACTCTTATAAAATGTATATTTTTTCTTTGATTTTTATTTATATTTATATTTATATTTAATTATATTTATATTTATATTATTTATTTATATTTCTTTGATTTTTATTTCTGTGTGTGTATATATATATATATATATATATATATATATATATATATATTGCACTCCTGATAATTTTCTGTAGAAAATTAAAAAAATTATTTTCTAATTATTATTCTAATTATTATTAGAAAAATTGATAATATATATATATATATATATATATATATATATATATATATATTTTTTTTTTTTTTTTTCAATTTTTCTAAATAATTTTTCTAATTTTTTTAATTTTCTACAGAAAATTATCAGGACTGCAAAATTTTCGAAAAGCAATGCACAGGTTATTCTTCCCAAGACGAAATATTATACGACAAATTCACAAAAAATAATGAGCTGTCCCAAAAGCGATCTCGAAAAAGAAATCCAAAATTTGACGAAACTGAAGATGAACAAATCTCCTCAGAATCTGAAAGTAATGTTACATATATAAAATGTGTGTGTGTGTGTGATTTCAACATATTTATTAAACGTTATGCCCTATTGTTGAAATTATTATATCTTTAATATTACAATAATTTTTATGTATGCTTATTAATTTTATAATTCATAGATGATAAACAAGCAAAAAAAAAATCTAAAATCATTAGTATACCAAAATTACAACCGTTGCCATCAAAATTAGATTATATTGTCATGGGTAAGAGAAGTAAATTATACATATAATAACTAGATTAAACATTATATAGTGCATTAATAACTGTAGTGTGTATTAATATTGTCTTTTTTGCTATTTTTAACATAAAAAGCTCAACTGTGTTATACAATTCCATTAATTGTTAAATGCAAGTATATAAGAAAGTATAATTTGTAATGAATTTGTTTCAAAAAAGTGTAACAAATTTTTTCATTTTGCACTTTATACTTTTCCTTTTTATCAGTAATATTATCTTATTCAGTAAAATTATTATTAGCTACTACTTCTTTATTATAAATATTTTATTCTAAAATATATATATGTATATATATTGCAGAGACATTAGGTTCAGGAACTACTGTATCAAAATCAAACCAATTTGCATCAACATATGATAATGCCATAGATAATGAAGCTTCCGAATTTATTAATAATGCTACAAAGAAAATTTGTGACAAAAATATACCAACTATTATACCAACAACATCAAAACAATCAACAACAATCTCTGATAATATCAGTCATAATATAGAAACTTCTAAATATAATAATATTATAACAAACAAAACTTCTGACACAATTTATGAAGGTAAATACATGCAATAATGTTAATTTAACATGTATTATTGAAGAAATTATACACACATAAGTAGATAGATTTCTTGAAATTAATCAGGTCATGAATATAGTATAAAAATATATATTTAATCTAGGTATTTAATTAGAATTATGTCTAGTAAATATAAAATTATTATACGGAATTGTGCATGTATGTACATGCATAATATGTTTCATTCCTTTTTAATTCTTTGTACAGATGATAATGATGATGATTTTGATTTGGAAAACCCAGCAGCAGAATTGCCTGTACACACTAAACCGATTATCATTTCACTTGGTGATTAAATATATGACACAATTGCTATATTGCAATTCAAATATAAGCATATTATTAATATATTGCAAGATTATAGATCTTATAAACTTGTTTAAATCTATGCAAAAAAATATATTCTCAATTTGGAAAACAAAAATGAATATTAACTATAGTAATTATAAAATACATTTCCGAGCCAATTTTTATTAACACATTTTCATAAACTTTCACAAATCTCAAATAATATAACTTTTTATTCTAAATCTTTAAACTGTTTTAATATCATTTTATATATGTATATTATATGTATATGTATATGTATATAATGTACGAGTATGTATATACGTGTATATATATATACACACACACACACACACACACACACACACAGATGTCAAATATAAATAAATTTAGTAAAGTTTGTTTTAACATGATATTAAAAAATACATAGTTCTGTCTAAATAACAAAATATAACAATTTCAAAAATATGCTTATTATTACATTGCAAAAAAAATACAAAATAATAGTGTTAGAAAGATAACATTTTTTAAATTTTAATTCAGATGCCAGGAATAATCCAATTGACGTTAATGAAAATGACATAAACATTTCCAACATTTGTAAAGGTAATACAAAAATTATTTTAAATGAAGTTATCCGATAACATTTATTTGTATTCCTTGCATGATGAAAAGTAAAAATGCAATTCTCCAATTCAATGCAATACTTAAAATTATACGTACATACACATGTAATACGAATATTAAAATTAATTCATTTTTATATACATCCACAAAACAAGAAATATATACAAATTGGAGAATTTAAGTTCTATAAACATATAATTATTAATATAATTGATTGAAGTACAATAAGATAAAAATAATTATAATAATATAAAAACAATGATGTTAGGTATATGTCCTCAAAACATTAGCTCACAGTAACAACAATATGTTATAATTTATGGTTCAACAATGTAATTGTATTGGAATATATCTTGTACATAACATTTACATTGTTGAGTGGAAAATTATAACGTTTACTGTATATTACTGTTCGCTAGTATTTTGTGGGGATATATTTTTTTTATATTATCATAATCGTTTCCATTTTCTTGTACTTCAATCAATGATAATTATGTTAACAATTACGTTACTAAAAATTAAATGTTCTAAAATATTGTAAATTTATGTATATTTCTTGTTCCAAATATAACTGCAATGTTTGTGATATATAATTATCATATTACATTTATTTATCAAGGTACATCACAAACAGTTTTGAATAAAAGGACATCAAAGACCACAAGAAGTGTCAACAATATAATTGCAAACAGATGCAATTGTTGTCCTTGCATAAGTATGTATAAATAAAAAAATGCATATAATTGCGAAGTTAAAAAAATTCCTAATATGTAAATGTTCAAAAGAAAAAAAAAATATATATATAATGTATTTTGGTAATTTTCCAGACAAGATAAATAGGAAATTGGATATAATAATACAGCATATATTACAATCAAAAAATAGAAACGAAGGAAATAATAATACACAATTGGAAAATATTGAATTTTGCCAATTACAAACAAAAGAAGAATTTGATGCATTAGAAAAATCACTTGCGGAGGATCCAAAGAAACGAGAACAATTAGTAAGTATAAATACAATTTTTATATGTGTTAAATCTATCGAAAGCGGACTTTGTCAAACACGTGTTATTTACAAGTGTGTTATATACATGTGTTGTCAACAGAGTAATGACAGAATCAACTTCTTATAATGATTGTCATAATAAAATTATTTAAGAACAAAAATGAAGCAAATTTCAATGTGACTTGATCAACACTCATCAAATGCATTAAATTTCTAGCATTAATTGAAGTATAACAAACACATTATAATAATAATAATAATAATATATATATATATATATATATATATATATATTTATTTATTTATTTATAATATTTTGTCATTAGTAATGTCGTTAACACATTATTATTTTATCGAAAACTATATATATTTTGTTTATCTCATTCAATTATTTATTTAGAATAGTGCAAATAATTTTTTTTAATTTTATAGAAAACTTTTATAAGGCAAGAAGGTGGAAAAGACGCTGGAGACCATATAAGGCGAGCGATGAAAAGAATAATGGCAGATCTCTTAGCTGTGCAATATTCTTGGAGCGGACAAAAGAATACTATCCGGTTTAAAGATTCATTTACTTCAAAACTTATTCTGAGTAAGTCGTAAAAAATTATAACATTCGTACATACATTTTATTTAATTATATATGTAAAATTGAACAAATTTTACGTATAATACATATATACATCTTCCAAAATTATAATTATGAAATTTTTGTTATTTCTTCAACGCTTCTTTTCATGTACATTTCTTTTCCACCAAATGATTTAGTCTATGTAAAGTAATATAAAGTAATATTTGGTCTGTTAAAGATTCTGTAGCATCGCTGCACACATCATCATGTATGAAAAAAATGGAAGATGCTATACAATCATGGTTAAATCACGCATCGGATCGTATAAAAAAAGGAAGGGAAGGAAGAAGAGAGACTCGTGAGTTATTAATTCAAATATTAATTTGATCGAGTTTATGGTAATGAATTAATATTTCAATTACTATAAATATCGAACATTGCTGCAAAAGTTGAGTTCTACGTCATAATTGTCGTATATTTGAAGAAATTAAAATAAATACTATGTAGAATAAAGAAAATATTTTATTTAATTCTGTAATCGTTCGTGTATGTAAATATATGTATGTATGACATTTTGTATGAAATTTTTCCAGATGCATGATTTAATATAAGAAATATTGCAACAAAAACTGGTACTTTCTTTTTAAATATGTGATATTTAAAAAAAATTAAAATATTAATATAATATGTGATATTAAAAAATATAATATGTGATATTAAAAATATTAATATAATATGTGATATTAAAATATTAATAATATTGTGTATTAATTTTTCCTACAAAATTCCTTATGTTTGAAAAAATATACTAAATCTAAAAAAATAATTGATTCAACATTTATAAGAAAATATTTATTTAAATTAGAAAATATTTATTTAAATAATTGATTTCAATATTTGCAAGAAAATATTTATTTATATTAAGCAAAAATATATTTGAATTAGCAAAATATACATGTATATTTTAATGATTCAAATATATTTTGGCTTAATATAAATAAATATTTTCTTGCAAATATTGAAATCAATTATTTTTTTAGATTTAGTATATTCTTTTAGTGTTCCAAATACTATTCCCATTGAATTCATAAAGTTTACATTTATGGAAATGGAAAAATACTATATGAATACTATATGAATATTATATGAATACTATATGAATATTATATGAATACTATATGAATATTACATGAATACTATATGAATACTTTAAGAAGTTCTCAAGAATTCAATCATGGTGCATGTAACTTCCACAATCATTCTTATTGTATTCATCTATGAATTCCTAAAGAATTACAATTTAAAAAAAAGAAAACTTAAAGATTACTGTTAGAATTCACTGTGCTATCTGGGTTGTGACAATATGCAGCTGAAGAGTATATACATGAGAGAGAGTCTTCTGCGTTTCTTCGATAATGTTCTTATTGACGTTTTTATAGAATCTAGATTGTCTTATTAGTCTTGATATAATATGGATAATGTGCCTTTATACAATCTGGATAATGTCTTTTATTGATTTTAACAAGATTATACCATTATAAAAAATCGCTTTTTTACCGCAATGGGACAATCTCGCTGACATCTTAAAATGGTCCTTACAATGATCTAAAATTTTCATAAGACATTATAAGAACCTTTTTAAGATGTCAGCAAAATTGTCCCATTACGGTAAAAAAACGGACATTTACAGGCCTATGGGCATCTCATGAGACGATCCCATACTTACTCCCATTACGATCACGGGATAACTTACATGATGTCTCACGAACGTATTTTGAACATACATTTGTTGTTTGGAAAGATATATCAATAGAAATGTAGAAGATATAAAAAGAAAGTTTTTTTATTAATTTTGCTTACAAAGCATTTGCAAAATAGACAATTCCCAGATAGCACAGTGAATTCTAACAGTAATCTTTAAGTTTTCTCTTTTTTAAATTGTAATTCTTTAGGAATTCATAGATGAATACAATAAGAATGATTGTGGAAGTTACATGCACCATGATTGAATTCTTGAGAACTTCTTAAAGTATTCATATAGTATTCATATAATATTCATATAGTATTTTTGATATGATTTTGATATGATGAATATAGTATTCATATAGTATTCATATAGTATTCATATAGTATTCATATAGTATTTTTCTATTTCCAAAAATGAAACTTATAAATGTAAACTTTATGAATTCAATGGGAATAGTATTTGGAACACTAAAAGAATATATTAAATCTAAAAAAATAATTGATTTCCATATTTGCAAGAAAATATTTATTTATATTAAGCCAAAATATATTTGAATCATTAAAATATACATGTATATTTTGCTGATTCAAATATATTTTTGCTTAATATAAATAAATATTTTCTTGCAAATATTGAAATCAATTATTTAAATAAATATTTTCTTAATTTAAATAAATATTTTCTTATAAATATTGAATCAATTATTTTTTTAGATTTAGTATATTTTTTCAAACATAAGGAATTTTGTAGGAAAAATTAATACACAATATTATTAATATTTTAACTTTTTTTTAATATAACTTTTTATTTAAAATTAAATGTATGTGCATACAATATATATTATATTTTTATATGCATATATAATTAAAAAAAGTAAATATATATGTAATATAGTAGAGGGTTTTATAGAATTTCTCAAAAATGAGAATCTATATCTTGGTTAAATGCACCAAGTAAAATATATGCATATGCCGTGTTTTTCGTTTAAAATTTCGCGTACAATTAAAAAGAATTTTTCAGGCATTTACCATCCGCTGTGGCTCGTAGACGCTAGTTTTCTTATCATGTTATTTAATATATAACGAGCCTAATTCCTTTCGATTTAGTTTAATTCACGCGCTAGCTGAAATGATCGCGTTTCATTTTCCATAGTTATAAACAAATAGACGAGGGTAGTATCGGTGTGGGGCTGAATAGCTCAGTGGTAAGAGCAGTCGCCCGGCAAGCGAAAGACTCGGGTTCGATTCCCGATTCAGCGACTTCGCCCCGATATTTTTCTCGTCTACGTCTCTTCAGGGGGGGGGGGGGTAAAGAGGGTTTTATAGAATTTCTCAAAAGTGAGAATCTATATCTTGGTTAAATGCACCAAGTAAAATATATGCATATGCCGTGTTTTTCGTTTAAAATTTCGCGTACAATTAAAAAGAATTTTTCAGGCATTTACCATCCGCTGTGGCTCGTAGACGCTAATTTTCTTATCATGTTATTTAATATATATCGAGCCTAATTCCTTTCGATTTAGTTATATATGTAATATAATAAACAACTTATATTAAACGCTGTAATTTAATTAATGCATATAAATACAACTTACTTTTATTTTCTATAGTAGTTGGTTATTCTTCAGTTTCGTCTAAAACTTGTATTGTGATACGTGAATGACTTTGATAAATCTGTAAAATATATGTATGAAATTATATAACAATATATTATACATTAGAAAGACTAAAGGAATAAGACATTCTATATAAAAGTAATATATAAAAGTAATATATGAACATATAATAGAAGTTTGTATTCATATAATCAGAAATTGCCTGTTGAAAGAACATGAACTACATGCAGACAAATATTTATCCAAATTTATCAATAAATAGAAATTTTGATTGACTCTGTTGGCAAACTAGACCAACTAAAACAGCTTGTTTACTGAATGAATAAACAACAAAAATAAAGACTGTATGCGTTTATTTCGAGGTTAGGTAGTAGGAATATATTTAGTTCAACTAATACTTACCATTCAATAACACCCAATTATTAATATAATTATGCGTGGCACTGTACTTTTGTCTGATATAATATATATAAATATATTACTACATTATAAATATATTACCACTTTATTGCAAAATACATATATGTAGCACACTGCACACTGCACGAAATTACAAGATAAAGTCCGAACCGAACACACACAGTCTCGCGCATGCGTGGAAAAATAATAAGTAATTCCTTATAAATTCTCAAAGTATTCATAGTACTGTCGCAAAGTATTCATTAAAATGAATTTATAAAGAATATTTCAAGACGAACTGATTGAATAATTCTTCAAGAATTCTTCAGATATTCATTTTTCTAATTCTACAAGTATTCTTTAAAATGATTTCCCTATGAACTTATGTTCACCTTTGTGCTATCTGGGTTACTGTCTCAAAATGCTCCGGAATTCTTGGAAGTAAGGATGTAAAAAGCATAATGTTAATAATTGTTTAAAATATATTATATAAATATATATAAAATATAATTGTTTAAAAAATATAATGTTAAATCATTGTTTAAAATATATACCAATTTATATAATAATAGGAAAGAGAGAGAAAGCATTGAAAAGAGACTGTGTTACAATAAATGTAATCTTAAATTATTATAAGTTATTATAAGTTATAAGAAATCGATTAATTACAAGTCCAAAATAGATGAAAATTTCGTCTATTTTTGAGATTTAAAAAAACTGTGACGTAATGAATCAATTCTGACGTCAGATTCGAATTCAGCGGGCCAAAATACATAAGAGTAGCCTAGTCAGATTGCCAGCACGGGGTACTTTTTTTGTGAGGCTGTGTTATTATCGAATATTATCCTTACATTTGACTATACACTAATGTTAAAGATTAAGAGTCTTATTCTTTAATCTTTAGTATTTAATAGAACAGGCATTAAAGATAACAAAATAGAAAAATTTTTGCAAAAGTTTCATGTATTAATTGTATTAAATGAATTTCCTACAATAAAATATAATATTGCTAATAAAAAAGGAAATAATATGAAGATATTTGCAAAAAAATAATAAAAGAAGAGCATTTCTAAACAAGTTAAAAAGTTTTGCATCAACCTTACAATTTTATTTTACCAAGGCGTACAAATATGTTCGTAAGACATTTTAAAATATTTTGTCGCATCCGCAGACAATAAGAAAATGGTATTCCTTTGTGGAAGGAAAACCATTTGGTATTACAACGGAAACCTTAAAAATAATAGAAGCAAAAATTAATGAAACAATATCAGAAAAGAAACAATTATATTTTAGTTATTAATATCTTAGTACCTTATTATCGATGATATGTCCATACGGAAATTTATAGAAATCAAAAATAATAAATATTATGGATACGTCGATTTAGGAATAAATTCTGAATGTAATGAAACTCTTCCAGCAAGATATGCATGCGTGTTTCTTCTTGTGTGTGTCAATAGTAGTTAGAAAATACCTATTGCATACTATTTAATACAATATTTAAGTGGCAAATCTTTGAAAGAGCAGATTTCATAAAATTAATATTAGCATCCTTACATGAAGTAGTTATTAATATTATTAACATCACTGTTTACTTATTAATATTACCATGGATGGTAGCCCAGCAAATATTTCAACAACGCAATGCTTAGGTTTGAATATATCTCCAACGAATTCGCTACCATACTTTACACATCCACAAACTAAAGAAAAAATTTATATGATGGATGCATGCCACATGATAAAGTTAATTAGGAATTCATTTGCAAGTAGTACAAACATTTACAATGCTAATAGAAATAAAATAGAATAGAAATATATTACCCATTTAATACAACTTGAAGAACAGGAACTTTAAGCTGCCACAAAAAT